GGATATAGGCAGCACACATTTTTCTCTGTTGAGATAATTTCCTTATTCACTTCTAGCCAATGTTTAGGCTCGGACCATTAGGTGTGAGCAGAGCATGCTGAGCATCTGGTGCATCTGGTGCATGCCTCTTAGGTCACAGGATGGGGCTTGGGTGGGTGTATTAGTGGGAGTTCCTCTTTCTCTCTCTCAGACAGGCATTGTCCTCCTCCCCTCTGTCTCCTCTTGCCCCCCGTAATCATCTTCTAACTCATTATCTCTGTAGACCTGATGCTCTCTCTCTGTCTGGAAGTTTATTTTAACATTCACTCTGATGAAGGGCATGCCACAGAGGCAGAGTAATATTCTACATGCACAGAAGTAAAGTGAGAGAACAAAACCAAATGTCTTGATCCTTTGTCTGGCTCTGAAGTGGCGAGAGAGAGACAGGACTGCTGCATGGGCCATGTCATTGAGCTGGCTTGGCTTTGAGACACACAGTAATGACTAGGTCATTGAGATGAGCTCACCCAAATATCTACAGACCCACAAATATACACAGGAGTGTACAAAACATTAAGAACATTGCTCTTTCCATGACATAGACTGACCAGGTGAATCCAGGTGAAAGCTATGATCCCTTATTAATGTCACCTGTTAAATCCACTTCAATCAGTATATATGAAGTGGAGGAGACAGGTTAAAGAAGGATTTTTAAGCCATTGACAATTGAGACATGGATTGTGTATGTGTGCCGTTCAGAGGGTGAATTGGCAAGACAAAATATTTAAGTGCCTTTGATTAGGGTATGGTAGCAGGTGCCAGGCGCACCGGTTTGTGTGAAGTACTGCAACGCTGCTGGGTTTTTCACGCTCAACATTTTCCAAATGGTCCACCACCCAAAGGACATCCAGCCAACTTGACACAACTGTGGGAAGCATTGGAGTCAACATTGCCCAGCATCCCTGTGAAATGCTTTCGACGCCTTGTAGAGTCCATGCCCCGACAAATTGAGGATGTTCTGAGGGCAGAAGGGGGGTTGCAACTCAGTATTAGGAACGTATTCTTAATATTTTGTCCACTCAGTGTATGTCCTGTATAAGCAGCCATCTTGTTTCCCTCTCCTCCTCCTCCCTACTCTCTGCTCAGAGATGATGGCTTCCTGTAAGGGCCTGAGGTGTTCTGTCCAGACAGAGGGTGTCCCACAATTGTCTAGACCATCCGTGAAAAGAGCAGTGATAAAAGTCCTCTCTCCCCCCCAGTGCATAATGTGACAGTGTAGCCCCCACTTGCTAGTGATTCACCCCTCCCCACCTCATCACCCCCTATGAAATATACATGCCTCCATCCAGGGCGTTTCCTCCCTCTGCAGTTCTCTTGCAGCTAGCCCAACACCGACTCTGAGGCATGCCTACCTTGAGTTTCCACAACCGCTCCATTAATCATTTACATGGATCTGTGGACGGATCTTGTTTTATTCCCTCTCTCCTCTTTTTTGAGAGACTGATTGCAGAACATATGGTAGAGGTTGACACCTTTTTAACCTGATTAAATTAATTGTCATCCCTTGAGCTTTTTATTTATTGTAAAGCAGCCTTAGATCTGTCTAAGTTTTAGATCTTTGGCGTTCAATTAAAGATATTAATGAATTTGGCCAATATAGATCCTATATGAATGGCCTTTACTTTAACTAGCTTCTGGTCATGATCTGCATTATAATTGTTTTTCCATGAAGGACCGTTGATCTGATTGGCTGAACCATTCGGATGAGAAGAAGAGTGATAAGGATGTGGGGTTCTATATGAAACACTGTGCTGATGGCTATCAGTTGGTTTCTATATGAAACACTGTGCTGGTGTCTATCAGTTGGGTTCTATATGAAACACTGTGCTGATGTCTATCAGTTGGTTTCTATATGAAACACTGTACTGATGGCTATCAGTTGGGTTCTATATGCAACACTGTGCTGATGTCTATCAGTTGGTTTCTATATGAAACACTGTGCTGATGGCTATCAGTTGGTTTCTATATGCAACACTGTGCTGATGGCTATCAGTTGAGTTCTATATGAAACACTGTGCTGATGGCTATCAGTTGAGTTCTATATGCAACACTGTGCTGATGTCTATCAGTTGAGTTCTATATGCAACACTGTGCTGATGTCTATCAGTTGGGTTCTATATGAAACACTGTGCTGATGGCTATCAGTTGAGTTCTATATGCAACACTGTGCTGATGTCTATCAGTTGGTTTCTATATGCAACACTGTGCTGATGGCTATCAGTTGAGTTCTATATGCAACACTGTGCTGATGTCTATCAGTTGGGTTCAGGCTGTTATTCTGCAGCAGAGGAAGGGGAGGAGAGAAGGAGTAAACTGCAATACAAGCTCCTGCGGCTAGCAGGTGTTTGCTGTTTTCTGAACAGGAGGGAATAATTAGGAGAGGGAGAAAGAAAGAGATGAAAGAGGTTGGGTTCAACCTAAGGGAGCAGTGATGTTGAGCTCAGTCCTCAGCCTGTGTTGAGGGGTCCATAGTGAGCGGTGTTCATAGTACTGGGCTGAGGCTCTGTTATGGCTGTCTGTCTGTCTCCTGCTGTGAGGGCTGTCTTATAGCTGCCTACATAAGGGTAGAATAACAACACTGTGAGTGGTCCTGCAGTACTCTGGGATAGGGTTGTAGCTGACTACACACTGCTGTGTGTGTGTGGATGTGTGTGTCTGTGTGCGTGCGTGTGTGTGTCTGTGTGTGTGTGTGCGAGTGTGTGTGCGTGCGTGCATGTATGTGTGTGTGTGCGTGCGTGCTTGCCATTCTCAGCATATTCTGTCATATACACAGCAGCATCCTATTCCATTTGCCTCCTTTGGAATCACCTATAATACTGTGCTGTTATCAGAGGCAGCTTTGACTGTATTCAGCTAACAACATCCCGCTTCCACAGATTACTCTGACATTTACCACAACACAAGCCAAGCCCTCTGACCGGCTAACAGAGATCAATACAAATGTCGATGTCCAGAAGTCAATCCAATCTCTATCTGCTGCTCAGCGGCTATGTTATGAGGTAGATTATCGAGCAACTTTGAGTATTTTCAGTGATGCTACAAGTTGTAAGTGTAGTTAGATGATTAGAGATGCTGTGGAATCCACCACTGATCATAGCAGTTATCTGATTCGTGGCCCTCTTCCCGTTCAGGGCTTGTTGTGGTGGATTACAGTGTTAGCCCACTGAGTCATTGTGGCATTCGCTGCGTTCGCATGTCGTTTTGCAGAGCCAGGGACTTGTTGGTTGCCAGGCCACGGTCAGAGGCCAAATACTACCTGCTGTCTGATATGTTATGTATTATATGAGACTGGATGATGTCACAGAGATTCCCTTTTATCTGATCACTGTATCTCTGTGGATTCAGCCTTAATCTACAACTTTAAACCAATATGTATAGTGTTCAGTTGTTTCAACTTTAATGGATTGGGACCCTGATGCTCTCTCTCGCTCTCTCTCTCTCTCTCTCTCTCTCTCTCTCTCCATTGGCCAAGCGTGCAGTGGTCAGTCAGTGATGATGTGGGAAGCAGGTTCTGGACCATGGCCATGCTCAATGGGTGGCCATTGTGTGTCTGCTGTGCTGATTGATGGAGAGGAGAAGGGCTTCCTATAATTGGGGCCTTGTTTTTTTCCCTCTGGCCAAAGGGAAGCATACGGGGCCACATTCTTTCTCCCATGTGTCTGTAGTGACTGCAGACTGCACTTCCTTCTTCTATCAGCAGAGATGGAATAGCCACAACACACCAGGCCAGGAGGCTTGGAAAGAGGGAGAGAGAGATCAGAGAGAAGGAAGAGGGAGAGAGAGAGAGAGAGAGAGAGAGAGAGAGAGAGAGAGAGAGAGAGAGAGAGAGAGAGAGAGAGAGAGAGAGACAGAGACAGACAGACAGACAGACAGACAGACAGACAGACAGACAGACAGACAGACAGACAGACAGACAGACAGACAGACAGACAGACAGACAGACAGACAGACAGACAGACAGAGCAAGGGAAACAGGGCTCTTATTGAAATCCTGAATATTTTCAAATGACACGTTTGAGGGCAGTCGTGGCTATAGCTGAGGACTAGATCAGCAGTCTGTCTCCAAGGGAGCACTGCAATTTACAGTCTGTTTGTCTGTGCTGCACAGACAGTGTTATTTTCATGTTTTTTTTGCAAGCTGGTAATGAGATGACATTAATTCTCACAGGGTGAATAATACTGTCCAGTGGTAATCTTCCCCAGCACCACAGTAGTAGTGCTCTACTTTAGCCAGTTCATCAACTTTATATGCTTTCGTTTCATGCAAATACCATCACAGCCAAGGCATAAACAGTCTCTACAGAAGGTATTTCAACATGTTTTCTTGTCTGTAGGTGTGTTTACATACCAGTATTTGAAGACCTAGATTATACCATAAAAGGACACTATACTTGGTTTAGGAATAGTGTCGGAAGAACCATAGAGATGTCCTACTGGAAATATGTCCTGTCTCTTTAACAGACAGAAGCAACGTCCACACTCCCCCCACCTCCACCTCCCACTTTTCTGTTGACTGGAGGAATAATGGATGAGTGAATACCCCTGTGACCCATCTTCCATGGGTCCCCTGCTCCCCGACTAGCTCTCCTTCCCCAACCCCAGTGTATATCTGAGTGTGTTTCTTTTCTCCTGGCCGTGAAAGAGACACAGTGTTTGTGTGAGTCATCCGGAGCTCTGCTGTGTGTGTGTGTGTGCGAGTGTGTGTGTCAGGCTATAAACCTCCCAGTGTTCCTTGAGGGACAGCATTTCTCTAATGAGACAAGGACATGTCGTCTGAGGAGAGAGGAGAGCAAACCAAGAACAATGTTAAAGTGCACCTCTATTTCATATGTTGTGGTTTCTCATCACCCCTGTAACCTTCATTTTCATTTTCAGACTGGATGTACTATTGATGTACAAGTTTATAATCCCTCTTCTTCTTCTCACTCTCTGTTTCTCTCTGTCTGTGTAGAATATAGATAATGGGCTGTGTGCAATGCAAGGATAAAGAAGCAACGAAACTCACAGACGACCGAGACACCAGCATCTCCCAGAGTGCCACGGTCTACCGCTATGGCGCCGACCCCACGCCGCAGCACCAGCTATACCCCAGCTTCGGGGTCACCGCCATCCCCAACTTCAACAACTTCCAGGCGCCCGTCGGCCAGGGGATGACCGTCTTCGGAGGGGTCAACACCTCCTCCCACACCGGGACCCTACGCACCCGTGGCGGAACAGGTAGGGGTGTCCATATGTTCCCCTTTAGCCCCTCTCCTGACTTCCCCGGACCCACTTCACCTCACGGCCCAGTCCCGGCCCCTCGACCCTGTGTTGGAATGTCCGGCCGGCGCTTGCACAGCCCTTTGTGTGTGGGTTCATTGTTTTATGTTTCATTGAGCCTCTGCTGCTACAAGAGGAACTACATCGTTTCCACTTAATTTAACACGGCTTCCCTCAAAGTGTGGATTATTTCTGTCCAAAAATTATCAAAATCCACAGTCAGTTGCAGGGGACAAGGGGGTTTAACTTTGGTACAAACTGTCCCTCTCTCTCTCTTTCTCTCTCTCTCTCTTTCTCTCTCTAAACCACTTTCATGACAAAATAATGCTACTGCCTTGTCTGTCTAACAGGCACCATTTTGCTTTCAGGCTCATAGATGAGGAACCCTGAGTGCTCTCTCTTTTTTGAGTGTTGGGACAGTGTTGTGTGTACTGTGGAAATGAATAGCCTGTGCTTTGAGAGCAGGGCACTTGGGGATAGTAGCTGTGAGAAGAGAACAAGCTGCTGCCTTTCACATGACACGAACATGATATGCGAGCTGTCGAGATAGTAGAGAGAGAGAGGGAGAGAGAGAGAGAGAGAGAGAGAGAGAGAGAAGAGGGGAGGAGAGGGAGAGAGAGAAGAGAGAGATAGAAGAGAGAGAGAGGAAGAGGAGAGAGAGAGGCGCGAGAGAGAGAGAGAGAGAGAGAGCAAAAGCGAGGGAAAGATAGAGGGTTCACACTGGGGTATTTTGCAAGCCACACGTCTGACACATCTACCTGTCACACATTCACAAGATACAGACAGACTGCATCACTTCTGCAGCAATGCCTTCACATTTCAATTTACAAGAAACCCCTAGCAAGCCAGAATACAACAACCAGGCTTTGGTTATGCATGGTTTATTATTGACTAATCTGAGGATTGGCATGTGAGTGAGGGTATGTGCTGTATGTGTTACCTACCTGCCTGCTGGAAGATTGTATGAAGGACCTTTTCCATTCATAATTGCTGCAGTGTTTGTATGCTACCTTTCAGGTGAAAGATGTCCAATACTGTATGAAGGCTTATTTCCAGCTATTTATACTGTCACCAATAAAATGGATGATTTCACATTCAATTCACTACAGCTTAGTATATCCTCTGCATCCAGAAATGGCAGCAGCCTCTAGAATAAAAGCTACCGTGCACCCAGCTTCCCTCCCAGGGTCAGTCAGTTCAATGTGAGTCTCTCAGACTCTAAGGTTAATTTGCTGCTCTTCCTAATTGCATGAGTGCTGACGCTGTGTGTTTTCTCTCGGCAGGAGTCACGCTCTTCGTGGCACTTTACGACTACGAGGCGCGGACAGAGGACGACCTCAGCTTCAGGAAAGGGGAGAAGTTTCAGATTATCAACAGCACGTAAGTACAGTATAGTACAGCTACTTATAACACATCACACCCACTGCACTAAGAGTGGAAAAAGGCTCCTGTTCACGCTCCCCTGTGGAAGGGCTGCTCCTCATACCCCAGTAGCACACCGTTAACCACCACCACCACCACCACCCACCGCCCACCCATCTAGACCAAAGGCAGGAAGACACCATCATTAGGGCCCTCCCTATCCTCTCCTCCTTCCCCCTTCCCTTCTTCTCCTCCCTACTCCCTTCCTCTTGGTTCATCTCCTCCTCCTGGCCAGTAGCCAGTCAGAGCTGCAGCCTCAGCCCTCCATCATCCGCCCACGCCGCCCTCACTTCTTCCTTCCCTCCCTGGCAGCACCCAGGCTCTGATCCAGCATGGCACATTGCCCCCTGCTGGAGAGAAGAGTAACTGCATCCAGCCCAGGCCCTGTCTCTCCCTCTCAGTCCAGGCTGCCTGGTAAACAGACAGTACATGGTAGATGCCTGTTCAGGCAGGGAATCACGTGAGCAGCCATGGGACTCCTGTGGGTACTGAGTACAGGGACTGTTGTGTTGGCATCTTCTCTAGGAAACGCTGAGATTGGTGAATGCATCCAACACCTTACAGGGAATCATCCCAAACGATAAGACTGAAGTGTTTATACTGTTTGATTCTGATTTACATTTTAGTCATTTAGCAGATGCTCTTATCCAGAGCGACTTACAGTTAGTGAGTGCATACATACATTTTTAATTTTTCATACTGGCCCCCCGTGGGAATCGACCCCACAACCCTGGCGTTGCAAACGCCATGCTCTACCAACTGAGCTACATCCCTGCTGGCCATTCCCTCCCCTAGACGATGCTGGGCCAATTGTGCGCCGCCCCATGGGTCTCCCGGTCGCGGCCGGCTACGACAGAGCCTGGATGATTGATTAGAATAGTTTCCCTTAACATGTTTGATATAACAAGATGGCGCATCTATACGTCTTCATCATGCAATTGCACATTTAGTGCATTTCTTCCCAGTCTATTTTTGTAAAACTACATCAGAAATAAGCAGGATATACCACAGGTTTTTTGTTTAATGATTCAAGTAAATTGTGGATTGTTTTTGTACATATTCCAACTATGAATACTATGCGATAGTGGATGCTAGCCTGACTCCAGTCTGTCAACAGAATCTACTCCCTCATTACTCTGTCATTAGCAGTGACCACAGGGAGAGAAGCTAGTTTGAGCATTACAATACTTCTGGAGATGGGAGAAGGCTGGTTCTTTGTTTGTTTACCCATGTTGTTGATTTCTGTCTTTGCGGCGCAGCCGAGTTGGTTAAAGAGGGTTTGTTTAAGAAATCAGAAGTGGTGAATCGACAGACTGGGGCCCATCCCGTCCGTCTCGCTTTCTCTCTTTCACTCTCTCGCTCACTCGCTCTGTCTTTCTCTTTCCTCCTCTCCTCCCAGCAGTCCATTGTTCCTCTCAGCTGTTGGCGTTAGCGTGTCTTCTTGAACACACTAGCCCTCCAGAGGGAACCTCCATTGTCCTCTCAGAACAAATTAAACCGGCCCCATTTCTGCCTGTGATGTCATCCCCGGTGCTCCCTATCATGTTTTTATTCAGGACAAATGAAAGACCACCACTAGGGTTATAGTAGTAAACAGTGATTGGTGGTTCTGTGTGTGGGGGAGACAATGTTTGAGGGGCTAGTGGGAGGGTGTGTGTGTGTGTGTGTGTGTGTGTGTGTGTGTGTGTGTGTGTGTGTGTGTGTGTGTGTGTGTGTGTGTGTGTGTGTGTGTGTGTGTGTACGGGCTAGCAAATAGTGGACCACTCCTTATAGCCGCCCGTTAAGGCATCAGCTATATGTCTCCTGTACTTTGTATGTGTGTGTTTGATGGTGGTGTGGAGGAGTCAGGGGGAAGTGGAGGAGTGGAGGAAAGAGGAAAACAGGGAGGAGGCTGGGGAGTAGAGGATGAGGAGTGGTGTACTGCGAAATACATTGAGAGAAATATAGGGAGATTAAGAATGTATTGCCATGTTAGAGGATGGTGCTGAAAAGAAGAAGGGACTATAGTGTGTTGGAGAGAGAGCGAAGGATGAAATTTAAGTGTGTCAGGAAGTGGAGCTATAAAAAGAAAGATGAAATGAAATGTGTGAGGGAGAGAGGGGTGTGAAAGAGGGCAGTGTGTTGGGAGGACAGGAGAGTGAGCGTGGTGGAGAGGCTGTAGTTAGAGGGAGAGAAAGAAGACATGAGTGAGGCAGTAATGGCTGCATAGGCATGCAAGCTGAGAGGTCGTTAAGAGCTCTCCCTCCCTCCTCCCATCCCCTGCTTGTGATCAGACAGCGCTGCCAACACATGCTGCCTCCCTACAGTATATGATTCCGTATGAACAAGGCATGTACTGCTTCCAATGTATTCACATGTCAAATGCGTTATTGATTCCAGTGGTTCATTTGTTATTTCTATAGCTGCTCTCCTAATACATGCTGTACATGAAACCGTCTGATCCCACGTGGGTTCCTTTGGTTAGCAGGAGTTAAACACTTTAAGCCTCACCCCTACCGTGAGTGTCTAGTATTGCACATGTGTATTGATCAATACTGTATAGAATGTCATGTAATGATGCTTTTCCTCTGCTCTCTCTCTCCATCTATCTCTTCTCTCCCTCCCTTTCTCTGTCACCCTGCTCTCCATCGCTCTCGCTCCATCTCTCCCATCTTCTCTCTCCATTCATCTCTCCTTCCTCGTAACTCTCTCTCCTCCCTATCTCTCTCTCTCTCTATCTTCATCTCTCTCTCTCTCTCCTCTCTCTCTCTCCATCGCGTCTCTCTCTCATCCATCTATCTCTCATCGATCTCTTTCATCTCTCTCTCTCTCATCTCTCTCTCCATCTCTCTCTCTCCATCTCTCTCTCATCTCTCTCTCTCTCCATCTCTCTCTCCATCTCTCTCTGTCATCTATCTCTCTCCATCATCCTCTCTCTCCATCTCATCTCTCTCTCCATCCATCTCTCGCTCTCCTCATCTCATCTCTCTCTCATCATCTCTCTCCATTCGCTCTCTCCATCTCTCTCTCACTCATCTCTCTCTCTCTCTTCACGCCATCTCTCTCATCAACCTCTCTCTCTCCGCTCTCTCTTACATCCTCATCCTGCTCCACTCTCTCTCCATCTCTCCTTCACTCTCTCATCACTTCTCTCACTCTCTCCATTCTCTCTCTCCGCAATCCCATTCCTCTCTCCATCTCTCTCATCTCTCATCTCTCCATCTCTCTCTCTCTCCACTCTCTCTCTCTCCATCTACTCTCTCTCTCCATCTCTCTCTCTCTCCATCTCGCTCTCTCTCTCCATCGCTCTCTCTCTTGCTCCATCTCGCTCTCTCATCTCTCTCTCTCCATCTCTCTCTCTCTCCATCTCTCTCTCTCTCCATCCTCTCTCCCCTCTCCATCTCTCTCTCTCCATCTCGCTCTCTCTCTCCTCCTCCATCGCTCTTTTCGCTCTCTCTCTCTCTCATCTCTCTCTCTCCATCTCTCTCTCTCTCTCTCCTCTCATCTCCTCTCTCATCTCTCTCACTCTCTATCCTCTCTCTCGCTCATCTCTCTCTCTCTCTCATCTCTCTCATCTCTCTCTCTCCATCTCTCTCTCTCTCCATCTCTCTCTCTCTCCCTCAGTGAAGGGGACTGGTGGGATGCTCGTTCCCTTACCACTGGTGAAAATGGCTACATTCCCAGTAATTACGTGGCTCCAGTGGACTCCATCCAGGCTGAGGAGTGAGTAGCAGTCTGTCATACTGGGTTTCATTGGGACACTCTCTGACAGAGCTGACTATATGACACACCAGACACCAGGTCACAGAGTGACACTTCTCCTGTCACGTCACGTCACTCACTCACTCACTCACTCACTCACTCACTCACTCACTCACCTACTCACTCACTCACTCACTCACTCACTCACTCACACACACACACACACACACACACACACACCACACACACACACACACACACACACACACACACACACACACACACACACACACTCTCTCTCTCTTCTCACTCTCTTTTGCTCTCTCTCCTCTGTTCTCTATCTGAGACAACAGAGAGAGAGGAAGATGTCAGAAGTTAGACAAGCGCAGATATTCTCTCTATCTCTCAGTGGCTGAAGTTAACAGTCAAGAAAAGGCTCTGAGGAGGAATGTAATCATACTGGGATTTGTACAGTATGTCTCTGCAGAGCTGGCACTTTCACCGGCTCATTAGAAATATTTTTATTAGACACTATAAAAGAGAGGAGAGTTGTGAGAATTGTTAACGGGGGGGGTGTATATACCTTGGTGTCAGACAGTGCTACAGGCCCCTTCTCCCACCTCACTCTCCATCAGACTCTCTGGTGAGTAATAATGTCATTATTCTATTGGTGCACCACAAGACATACTATAGCATGATGGATTTAAACACAGCCAGAGTTTGTATGGGAGGTTGTTCAATTCACCAACACTGGCTTATTACTGTAAGAGAGGGGGAGACATTTCATGCAGGACATTAAGCCTTTGCTCCCTCTCTATATGTATTTAGCCAGTGCTCAGCCTCTAGTCTCAGAGACCATGGCCAAATGGTGATTTATTGATTGTGTTGCAGTGAGAGTTTTGACTGGCCTTGTGAGTGGTGTCACAGTCAACGTGTCTCTGATCGCTGTATATCAGATTATCATTTTTAAACTCAAAGACCCTTTACACACATAGTCTGTACCAAACCAAGATGGATGGTTTATGATTGTGCCTCCCTCACTCATTGTTACCCACTCTTCATAGCTGGTACTTTGGGAAACTGGGCCGGAAGGATGCAGAGAGACAGCTGCTGTTCACTGGTAACCCCCGTGGCACCTATCTCATCAGGGAGAGCGAAACCACAAAAGGTAACCACCAACCCATCTAAGTAAAGAGCCTGTATGTCAAGACAGCTGTCTGACAGAATGTTTGATATACTGTTCATTTACCCAACTGAGGAGCAGCTGACTATTCTATAAAAGCTCATTCTGCATCTGTTAATACTATCAGCCATTTCCTATAACCTCCAGTGTTATTAATGCATGAGGTAAGTGATTGTTTCCCAGTGACACTCTACTCCCCATCTGCGTGTCCTGTAGGTGCCTTCTCCCTGTCCATACGAGACTGGGATGACGTGAAGGGAGACCACGTGAAGCATTATAAGATCCGTAAGCTGGACAGCGGAGGTTACTACATCACTACCAGGGCTCAGTTTGAGACCCTGCAGCAGCTGGTGCAGCACTACTCAGGTAAGAGTCAGAAACAGTCCAAGTTACACCATTCATACACCATTCATTAGACATGTATGACTGAAATGGCTACGATAGGCATATTGCCTCAAAAAATTGCTAGTGTATCATCGTCTTAAGTGTAGGCCTAGAGTTACAGTAACAGAGAGCTTCTATAGACATAGCTACTCTACTCGGATAAGAGTCCAAAACAGTCAGTTATACCATTCATACACCTTTATTTGAATTCTTATTAGACATCTATGAGTGACATAGATATGATGATGTGTAGGCTTAGAGTTACAGTAATGTACAGTGCAACTCCTCCAGGCAGAGCTGTAGTCATATTGGTGTTATAGTATAGTGGAGACAGGACATGGACATAGCAGATGATTTGAAAGCCTAAATAGATACAAGAGGCTTCTCTTTTGTCTGGTGTCCATTTCCTTGGATTGATCCAGAAGTGCATTATGCTGACACTGTTAGTCTGTATAATCTCATTTACACTGTTAAGGCATCTTCAAATGCAGGAATAGAAAGTGAAGCTCACACTTAAGATTTGAGAAGGGAATAGAGTGCAATTGAAGTGAAATTGAAGTAAAGGCTAGGGCTAGTGGTAAAGTAAAACATAAACGCAAACTTCAAATACTCAGCTTAGCACTTTCAAAACTTTCAGAAAACTGTTGAGAATGCAACAGATAAGTGATTCAAGAATTGATGAAGTGACACATTTTGAAATAAATTATTCTACAAATATTGAGAGCAAAATCAGTCTAGATTGACACTAGCGCCACTTATTGTGGTTTGAAAAGGGGACCCTGAAAGGGTGATGTAGCCTACTGTATCTATTTTGTCTTAGTGTGAGTTAGTGGGCCTATTACCTCACCCTAATGGGCCTGTTAGTCCCGGCGGTATTGAGTGTCCCAGTTGTACAGACCATGTTCTCAGTAGACGAGGAGGACAGTTGAACGTCACTCTGATGATGATGACACACTGCATTCATGAGCATGTGTTGGTGTCAGATGAGACAGCTCTCTCTCTCTCTCTCTCTTCTCTCTCTCTCTCTCTCTCTCTCTCGATCTATCTCTCTATGCTCTCTCTCTTTATCTCTTTCTCTTCTATCTCTCTCTCTCTCTCTCTCTAGCTCTATCTCTTTGCTCTCTCTCTATATCCCTCTCTTTCACTCTCTCTCTTTTCCTCACCCAATTTCTCTCACTCCACGCTCTCCCTTTCTCTCTCTCCCTCTCTCTTTATGTATCTCTCTACCGCTATGTATGTGTCTTTCTCTCTCCCCTGACTATCTCTCTCCATGAGAAGGGTGATGTGCTCCAGTTATCACATTGACATATTGATGCTTAGTCCACTGGAAATGAACCGTATGGATTTTGTGTGTATTTTTGTGTCACAGTGCATTAATTGTCTCTTTCCGTGCCCTCTATCGCCACTCCAGGGAGCATATAGTGTGAAGTTCAAACATACCTCTTCAAATGACCTTGACCGCTGTTGTTTTCTTCCAGGGCTTGTGCTTCTTCTGTTGCCTTTTGCTTTCTCACAATCTCTCACTTGGGTCTTTGTCGAGGTTCAATTTCTATATTATCAACACATCAGCCAAAACACCACCAGCCCAAACTACACTCTTAGAAAAAAAAGGTGCTATCTAGAACCTAAAATGGTTATTCGGCTGTCCCCATAGGAGAACCCTTTGAAGAATCCATTTTGGTTCCAGGTAGAATCATTTTGGGTTCCATGAAGAACCCTTTCCACAGAGGATTCTACATGGAACCCAAAAGGGTTCTACATGAAACCAAAAACGGTTCTACCTGGAACCAAAAAGGGTTCTCCTATGGGGACAGCTGAAAACCCTTTTGAAACCCTTTTTTCTAAGAGTGTAGCAAAAAAATAATAATTAAATCCTTCTCTCGGTAATACCACTTTATCTTAATAGCCAACAAGGACAAATAACTGTTTTGATACCTACTGTGTGCATGCAGTGTGCCCAACGCCAGCCTCTCCCATTTGCTGTATTGACATGTTTTATGATAGTGAGACTGAGACATAAAGTACAGTATTGATGCCTGGTCACAGCAGCAGGCCCCGATGGGCTTTAATGGCTGCAGCACAGTCAGAACACAACACTCCCATTGGAGAGACACAAGCCTTTATCTCCCCTTTACTACCCTGAGCAAACAGCCTGGTCTTTATCTCCAGGGGGGCCTGGGGCCCCTGCATGTCAGGGGAATCAAAGTGGAGGGACGGCGGCGGAAGCAACGTCCCCAGGCCTCACTTTCAATCGATGGTGGGCAAACACATCTACTTCCTCTGCGGAAAGAAGAAACGCTAATTTTCATGTCAGGGATGAGATAACGTGTTTTCATCATCACACACACTAATGGACACACAGCTACCAGCCGCAATGGCTTCTGCTGTCCCTGTCTCAAATCTAGACTAGGGTACCCTCCTTGACTACCTAGTTTGCATGAACATTAAAACATCCTAGTTGTAATGCACCGTGTAGTGGTCTCTGTATGTGTTTAACCATCATCGCACATACATTTCCATTTGCAGTGATAGCCGGCCTGTCAATCTCTTAGCAATTACAGTCATTATCATAAAGCGTTGGGAGTCAAACATGTCCATTAGCCAGAGTAGAACCATTAACGTGTCCAGCTATACCAGGCTGTTGCAGTCATACCTGACCTTTGCTAATCACTTCATTCTAGCTTTGACTAAGAGCAACCGGTACACAAAACAGGCTGCAACCTGAACAACACTGACCTTTCAATTCCTTTTTGAATTCCTTATTGAATTCCTTACATTCAAAGGAATATAGTGCAGCTGGTAAAAATTTCAGTTATTTGTGTGTCATCAACAGAGCCGACAGAATCCTATTGCAGTACTGTACGAGACTTACAGGGGGGAGGATAGAGGGTGGATGGAACAGCACTCAGTGTGATTTGATGCACAGCAGCTAAGAGGGCATTAGACAGATGAACGCTTGACCTTATGGCCCTGGGACAGACACTGTCTGGGACATCTAATGGGACAGATTGACTGGCTGCTGTGGTGCTTACCTGAGCTCATCGCTGGATGCACCTGGAACTGTTCTGCTATAAGAGTTCAAACTGAAACTGAATGATAATTGATATAGTTATAGATCTATCCCTAGATGACATAGGTTGGATACTGAGTTGATAGGGAATCGGAAGCGAGCAGTATGGGCCGATCGATCGCTCTCTACTCGCATATCGATATATCCTCTCTATCTCTATCTCTATCTTTAGCTCTCTCTCTATCTCTCTCTCTCTTCTCTCTCTCTCTCTCTCTCTCTCTCTCGCTATCTCGCTCTCTCTCTCTCTCTCTCTTCTCTCTCTCTCCTCTCTCTCTCTCTTCAAATATGCTTTGCTAACTGCTTTCTTTCAACCTCCCCTCCCTTCTCTATCTCACCCTGTGTCTCTGAATGCGTGTGTTTGTGATGGGTGTGTATGTGTGTGTGTATGTGTGCGCGCGCGCTCATTATGCCTGTCTGCAGAGCGGGCCGCGGGGCTGTGCTGTCGCTTGGTAGTGCCCTGCCACAAAGGGATGCCCCGCCTCACCGACCTGTCCGTCAAAACCAAAGATGTGTGGGAGATCCCGCGGGAGTCACTGCAGCTCATCAAGCGTCTGGGGAATGGGCAGTTTGGGGAGGTCTGGATGGGTACGGGCAGACTCGCCTCCGTAAACGTCTGGCCACAGGCTACATGAAAGGAGGCCACACTGACTGAGTAAGCAGAGACATCAGACAGAGAACAGATTCAGACAGTCTACTCACAACCTCTCTCTGAGAAAAGTGGGATGTCAAAAACGTCTTTACTGTTAAATGAGATCATCATTACCTGGTTTCTCCTGAGGGACACTTTTAGTCCGTGATCCATGTAAAACACGAACAATGAATTCAACAAACTGTCAGTCTACAAACTCTGCTCTCTCAGTTCAATATGGCTTTCTTCCATCTGCCTCTTTGCATGTTCCTCTCCCTAGTAGTTAACCCTGTGTGCCTTGCCTTCCCTGTTCCCTCCCCTGTAGAGAGTGCGGATGGTTTGTGCTTTAATTTAACGGGTGTGTGTGTGAACTACACCCCTGATACTATGGGCCTGACTCACGATTCCTGGGAAATCGCCAGAGACTCACTTGAGTTGGAAGTAAAGCTGGGGGCGGGATGTTTTGCTGAGGTGTGGTGTGGTAAGGACAAAGTAGTTCCATCATTTTCTTTTCATTTCTAGTGAGGGGTGTCCAGGAGGAACATTTGATAACTTATATTTATTTATTTTCTAAATATTGAATCACCTGAGGACATTTTCAGTCTGTATAACACAAAATGAAACTTTTGTGCAGGTGGTTCAGTTTTGTATTGTAATTGTTAATGAAAATGTAAGTTATCGTTCTTTTTCCAGGATACCCTACATTTTAGTAAATATTATTTTGTCATGCTTCATTTGAGGGCTTAAAGGCTTAAATCAATAGTCTAAAAGTAACTTTTTAAACATACAATCCTACTATTATTTTAATGTATCTTGTGTAGAACTTGGTTCATTGACTACTTTTGAGTCCAAAGTTTTAGATCAGGGCTGTGTCCTGTTGTAATGTTTGGACATGCTGTTTAGGGGTTTGGGGTTTTGGTTGGGGCTAGCCCCACACCCTGCTGCCAGTGACACCCAGTCCCCTGGGATCCCATTACCTCAGAACCCAGCGGGGGACCTCAGCACAGTCACTGCACAGTACCAGGCCCCAAAAAAACTGACAAGGCCCAGCACTCACAGCTGTGTCACTTATCAACACTGCGCTCCAGGATTTATAAAAATTCTTAAATTAAAATCCCCAAACCCACCGCAGTAGAAATGCATGTGGAGCCCAAATGTCACACACTGACTCGAGGTCTGTCTTGCCTTTATTTACTGTGACAGGTCGCATCCCAAATGGCATCCTATTCCTTATATAGTGCCCTACTTTTGGGCCCTGGTCAAAAGTAGTGCAGAATAGGGTGCCATTTGGGACGCAGCCACAGAACAAGCTAAATGACCTCGTATGAAGAATATACCCTGATTTCAATGTTTTACAGTGTGCTTACTGACACAAAGGCCTGTAGAGAACAGTGGCATGCTAACACTGTGCTACAGTACAGTAACTGGCACAACATGAGAGAGGGCCTTACTTATAGGGCTGTTGCCTTTGTTAATCATCCTACAATGGATTATCCTTTCCCGTGTTGGTATATTGTGGGGTTTAAAACCTCGCCAGATCTCTCTCATGGCTTTTGAAAGCCATTTGAAATGAAGGGTCACTATAAATGTCATACACATTGATTTGTCCCTCAGGACAACCTTTGTGCATGTCAATTAAAGGCAAGCAGACGTCAATGTCCATTTCTGGGTTGTGTGCTGTTTTGTTGGTATTTCAAAGCAAGACTTGTCAGTTTATTTAGTTGTTAGATATGCACATACTATATTGTACACAGTATTACTTATTGAATTCACAACTAAATGGGCTCAAGTCTTTCTTTGTGACATGATGTACTGTATACATCAATGAACGGTTTTCCAGATCCAGATTGAGCGTAGTCCTGGACTACAAAGCATGCTCAATGGAGGATCTCCACTGAAATAACCTTTAAGTCCAAGACTAGGCTTAAACTGTGTCTAGGAAACCGGCCCCAAAAGTTGTGAGATGTGATGGCTGTACTAATACTTTGTTATTGGTGGGTAACAGGAACGTGGAACGGCACCACTAAGGTGGCAGTGAAGACGCTGAAGCCAGGCACCATGTCTCCTGAGTCCTTCCTGGAGGAAGCCCAGATCATGAAGAAGCTCCGCCATGACAAGCTGGTGCAGCTCTACGCTGTGGTGTCTGAGGAACCCATCTACATCGTCACTGAGTACATGGGCAAAGGTATTGTCACTCACACACCCATGAATGGACGCATGCACACATAGAGACAGACAAACACCCACACCCACACACAGTTCATGTTGTAACACACAAAAACACACACAATACAATACCTTTGTCCACGTACTCTGCAACGATGCTATGGAGAAAACGGACCCTATAACTCTATATTTTTTAAAGTAATAATTAAACATTGACACTGTGGTGAACCAGCACCTTCAGTGACACACTGTAGGCCTAGTTAGATAGACTATGTAACCATCTGCCTTGTTGCAGGCCCTGTAGTTGTTCTTACTCTGGAATAGTGTGTTTCTTCAGTGCGACAATAATTAGAGCCTTTCTTCAGTGCGACAATAATTAGAGCCTATATTTAACTATGGCACAGTCGGCCAACAAGCTGACGTTTAGGAGCACCACAACAAAGAGCTTCAGATCCGTGAATTAAGTATAGAAGAAGATGGGATGAAAACTTTGATGTGATCATTGTTTCTTCGGCATGCTGGGAAGGAATCCCACATCCCACTGTTAACTGATGTTCAGAAGACTGTTTCAATAAAGATATGCTATTTCAAATGCATGTTCTGACAACAGATATCTCCTGTTGTTTAGGAAGCCTCCTGGATTTCCTGAAGGATGGGGAGGGACGAGGACTGAAGCTGCCCAATCTGGTTGACATGGCAGCCCAGGTAAGGCCCGATAAAGATGTCACTCACTCAGTTCTGTGTTTATACAACGGAACTCTGTGTGACTTCACAAACAAGACGACTCAGCAGCACTGAAACTTCAGGACAGTGGTGTGTCATCGTGTGTTGTATTCTCTCTGGAACTACAGTACCAGTCAAAAGTTTGGACACACCTACTCATTCAAGGGTTTTTCTTTATTTTTACTATTTACTACATTGTAGAATAATAGTGAAGACATCAAAACTATGAAATAACACATCGGGAGTCATGTAGTAACCAAAAAAGTGTTAAACAAATCAAAATGTGAGATTCTTCTAAGTAGCCACCGTTTGCCTTGATTACAGCTTTGCAAACTCTTGGCATTCTCTCAACCAGCTTCATGAGGAATGCTTTTCCCACATATGCTGAGCACTTGTTGGCTTCTTTTCCTTTACTTTGCAGTCCAACTCATCCCAAACCATCTCAATTGGGTTGAGGTCGGGTGATTGTGGAGGACAGGTAATCTGATGCAACACTCCATCACTCTCCTTCTTGGTCAAATAGCCCTTACACAGCCTGGAGGTGTGTTGGGTCATTGTCCTGTTGAAAAACAAATGATAGTCCCACTAAATGCAAACCAGATGGGATGGTGTATCGCTGCAGACTGCTGTGGTATTCATGCTGGTTAATTGTGCCTTGAATTCTAAATAAATCACAGACAGTGTCACCAGCAAAGCACCATCACACCTCCTCCTCCATGCTTCACGGTGGGAACCACACATGCAGAGATCATCCGTTCACCTACTCTGCGTCTCACAAAGACACGGCGGTTGGAACCAAAGATCTCAAATTTGGACTCATCAGACCAAAGTACAGATCTCCACCAGACTAATGTCCATTGCTCGTGTTTGTTGGCCCAAGCAAGTCTCTTCTTATTATTGGTGTCCTTTAGTAGTGGTTTCTTTGCAGCAATTCGACCATGAAGGCCTGATTCACGCAGTCACCTCTGAACAGTTGATGTTGAGATGTGTCTGTTACTTGAACTCTGTGAAGTATTTATTTGGGCTGCAATCTGAGGTGCAGTTAACTCTAATGAACTTATCCTCTGCAGCAGAGGTAACTCTGGATCTTCCTTTCCTGTGGCGGTCCTCATGAGAGCCAGTTTCATCATAGCGCTTGATGGTTTTTGCGACTGCACTTGAAGAAACTTTCAAAGTTCTTGAAATGTTCAGGATTTACTGACTTTCATGTCTTAAAGTAATGATGGACTGTCGTTTCTCTTTACTTATTTGAGCTGTTCTTGCCATAATATGGACTTGGTCTTTTACCAAATAGGGCTATCTTCTGTATACCACCCCTACCTTGTCACAACACTACTGATTGGCTCAAACGCATTAAGAAGGAAAGAAATTCCACAAATTAACTTTTAAGAAGGCACACCTGTTAATTGAAATGCATTCCAGGTGACTACCTCATGAAGCTGGTTGAGAGAATGCCAAGAGTGTGCAAAGCTGTCATCAAGGAAAAGGGTGGCTACTTTGAAGAATCTCAAATATAAAATATATTTTGATTTGTTTAACACTTTATGGGTTACTACATGATTCCATATGTGTTATTTCATAGTTTTGATGTCTTCACTATTATTCTACAATGTAGAAAATAGTAAAAATAAAGAAAAACCTTTGAATGAGTAGGCATGTCCAAACTTTTGACTGGTACTGTACGTTTAACTCAGTTATTTTACTGTGCTCACTGTGTGTGTGTGTGTGTGTGTATGTGTATGTGTGTTCCAGGTGGCAGCAGGCATGGCGTACATCGAGAGGATGAACTACATTCACAGAGACCTGCGCTCAGCTAACATCCTGGTCGGGGACAACCTAGTGTGTAAGATCGCCGACTTCGGATTGGCCAGGCTGATTGAGGACAACGAGTACACAGCACGGCAAGGTGAGGTCACACACACACACACACACACACACACATATACACACTAATGATTGCCTTGGTTCATGAAGATAGTTCTTCCAACACAAGCCATACTGTGTACATCATCACAAACTGACAGGATGTTAATGGCTCCCATTTCAGATCACTGTCTGTCTATTCCAATGTACTACAGACTAGAACAGAGATACTGAGAGACACTCCCATCTATAGAGAGAAAGAATACCGGTAGCCATATGTAGTTAAGTTACATTCTGTCATTCACTTATATCCCGCTCTGTTCTCTCCCAGGTGCTAAGTTCCCTATTAAGTGGACAGCCCCGGAGGCTGCGCTGTATGGGAAGTTCACCATCAAGTCCGACGTGTGGTCGTTCGGCATCCTTCTCACTGAGCTGGTCACTAAGGGACGGGTACCCTACCCAGGTGAGGAGGATCAAGGGACAAATGACCAGACTGTCAATGGTTGTGTCCCCAATGGCACCCATAGGGCTCTGGTCAAAAGTAGCGCTCTATATAGGGTAAAGGGTGCCATTTTTGGACGCAACCCATGTGATGTAATGTCCACATCCTGACAGAGCTCAAGAGGATGTGTGTTATGTTTGTTTTTATTAAGTTACTATTAAGGATAAGCCTCACTTGTATTACGAATAGGTAGAAGACTATGGTGACATTATAAAGCACAACAAGAGATTTTATAACAATTTGCAGGCAACTCCTACTGTTTACGTTAAAGAAAATAAGAGGTTTAACCACGGCTGAGTAATTTTGTTTTCCTGCCAGAATCTGAGATTTATAACCGTTAATCCAGGGTCTGCCTTTGGGCCACTGCTAGCACATGTGAGAGGACTGGTCAGGGGTAGGGAGTTGACTGAGAGCAGCCTCACTGAGGGAGGGAGGGAGGGGGAACACATGTTTGTCCAGTTGGGCCACGCTTCGCTGAGCCAGGGTGGTGTGCGAAAGGGAGGGAGGGAGGGAGGGAGGGAGGGAGGGAGGGAGGGAGGGAGGGAGGGAGGGAGAGAGAGAGAGAGGGGGGGGGGGGGGGGACTTGCACGCTATGGAGGCCAAGCTGGGGCTAAGGGGATAATAGCATCATCCTAACAGATGTCTTAGCAGCTTTGAGGCCCTTTCTCCGGACTCTTCTTGTTGATGCCGAGGCTATCTCTTAGCTAGTGAAAAACAGATAGTAAGCCATTGAAACATCCCCTGGTTGTAAAACTTTTAACCCCTGTGTTACATAAATGCTTTCCCCAGGTCCAGATGTTGCCTTAAGATCAGCATTACTGAGGTTTAAATGTCTATGTCATTAAGATCATTCAGTAGAGGTCAAAACAGATGTCTTTCATTGAACTGTCTTATCGGTTACTTTAAAAGCCTCTGCTGTAGTTACTAACCGTATCTCTATCTCTTTTCCTGTGTGTGTGTGTGTGTGTGTGTGTGTGTGTGTGTGTGTGTGTGTGTGTGTGTGTGTGTGTGTGTGTGTGTGTGTGTGTGTCTGTGTGTCTGTGTGTCTGTATGTCTGTGTGTGTGTGTGTGTGTCTGTGTCTGTGTTTGTCCGGCGCGTGTGTGTGTAGGGATGAACAACCGGGAGGTGCTGGAGCAGGTGGAGCGAGGGTACAGGATGCCCTGTCCCCAGGACTGCCCCATCTCCCTCCACGAGCTCATGGTGCAGTGCTGGAAGAAGGATGCCGAGGAGAGGCCCACCTTCGAATACCTGCAGGCCTTCTTGGAGGACTACTTCACGGCCACGGAGCCACAGTACCAGCCAGGGGACAACCTCTAAACGCTGGCCTCTGGGCTGCGAACAGGACTGGACTGAATCGTAGCTCTCTGGAGCCCCACCAGGGACCAGGGACCTGTACATCTTCCTCAACTCAACAGAGCATCTTTTCTCAACTCTCCTCACTCTCCGTGGCTGACCCTGAGACTCAACAGACTGGATACCAGAGGGAGGGAGGGAGATTTGGGTGTGGGTGGGTTTGTGATGATGCAATGAAATGCCTGTATTCAATGTAAATATGAACAGCTCGTTTGCTTAACTTTTGGGTTTTATTTTGTTGGTTTGTTTGTTTGACATATTTTCTCCAGCATAGCAATGATGATGATGATGATGATGATGATGGTGGTAAAGAAATTATGACCATTTCAAAAGTGCACCATGAGACCAATATCTCAAGATATCTGGTCTATTCCAATCCAGATTCTCTTCCAATCCAGATTCTCTTCCAATCCAGATTCTACGGGACATTCCTTTCTTTGCAAAGTCATCTGTTTTACCGACTTCAGGCAAGCATGACAAAGTACTCCATTGACTTTTTTTTAGCACTGCTTCCCATGAAGTAAGTTTGATATTATTTTACTTTTATTTTGTGTAAGATAGCTTTGTCCTCCTCATAATAATAGATGTTAGGCTAATGCTGTAACAAAGTTATTTTACAAATAATGTATGTTACATTTTGTAATTACAGCCAAACGTGTAAGAATTATACTTTTGAACATATCTCTTCTCGCTTACCAGATTTTAAGAAAAATTAAGAATGGGAAAAAATCTGTCTTTCCAGTTATTAGTTAGTGTATACTGGAAGGATATGCAGTTTATTTAAGAAGAGAAAGATGTATGTCTACATTTAATGGTTCCATTTCATGGTCCTTGTTTACTCCATGATGCGTAGCCATGTACTGGGAAGTCCTAGTGGGTAACGTCTCTTCCTCCCTCTGTGAACAGTGACATGTCCCCATCCTCAATACTCATGTCCCACCCTAGGTCTGTCTGTATGAGGCACAGCACCACCAGTAGGATCCTTTCTCAGCTCATTTCTGGACCACTTCCTTTGGATTACTTTACCTTTTTATGTTTAAACTGACATGGATATTTTAAGTATTTGTGTCTTCTGTTTCAGAGTATGTTTTATTTAACCTTAAAGCTTTGAGGAATGGGTTGTACTGTATCTTCAAAGGGAATGTTGCAAAGACACTGGTGAAGCATCCAGCTGTAAAGCTTGACCTTGTTTAGTCTAAATGTAGTATTTGTTCTTATCTTATGACGGTTTAAGTGATCATCAGGATCTGTTTAAGATTGAACCCCCTCGTTGTTTTTCAGTTTTACAGCTTAATGGTTTTAAAAGTGTCAGTAACTTTCCTAGTTTATTTCTTCAATTTTCCATTTTTTTACATTTCTGTTTTGTTAATTCAGTGACTTGGCATTTGAAATTCAAAAAGAACAATAAACATTTTACACTCTTTCCAAGACACTTATTTTATATATTATGTTATTGCTGCTTCTATACGTTTTTTATCTGTTGTGTGTGTCCATCTATGCCTTCATGACCACCAGACGTTGCTACAGGGTGAAACAAGAGTTTTGAAGAAGACTCTCTCTCTAGCCCTGTTTATACCTGCCGTTAACATGCGTCCTTCGTCCTGATCTTGTTGTGATCTTGACCTGATCTTGTCTGTTTACACTTATAAGATCTGTTCACAATCAGATCGCAATGCGTATTTTAATCTTCTACACCTGTCTAATAATGTGGGCACAATCAGAATGTGGACCAAGATCAGGACAAAGGACACATGTTAGAACCAGGTATAAACAGGGCTTCTCTCTATCTCTCGCTCTCTTTTTGTCTCACCCGGGTCCAGTGGCCCGCAGGTCTCTCCAGCCCCATAGCTGTATGATAAGGAGAGGGCCAGCGGCCAGCTGTTCACCTGAGGAGGTGCTAAATGACTGGTACATGAACTCAGGGCAGGCCTGCAGCGGGTTGAGGCACCAGTGCCAGGTAGATACAAGGGAACACTATGGCCAGACCCACATACACACATAGCCTGCAGCTCAGGCAATCAGTAGTGACACACCTCACACCTCATCATGTAGCTCATCAACTCTATTGGTAAAGGTTGCATAGGGACAGCTCAGCTATGACAGGCTCACGCAGAGTCAAACTCACAGCTTTCTAGCTCAGTGTTTAGTCCTGTAAGCACTACCAGCAGCAGTAGCAGTACTGTTGTTTGTTCTCCGTTATTTGATTTCTGAATCAATGTTTATGGGATGAATCATGTGTTGGCTGATAAGCTGCAGGACATTTGTTTGTTATCAGGCGAGAGTCACTGCACAAGCTCTGTAATAGAAAAAAGCATTATGTTAGTAGGCAAATGTGGAACATTATTCACTTTTTTTCTGGCCGAGTTCTACAGTAATCGTGAACTAGACCAGTCTGACAGTGTGTTATGTTCTGTGAAGACCACAAGAGGGAGTCTTTTCCGTGACAGGTGTGTCACTGTCGGGGTGTACTGAGCTCAGATACATAAGAGGAAGGGAGACACTCACTCACTGTTTATAACATTTTGGGGGGAGTTCAATTAAAGTCAATGAACTAAGTAGACCGGACCCAGCTGCTATTGCATTGGTGTCTATGGGAGACACTCAGACACACCCAGTTAAGTAGAACAGACTGTTTTTTTCGATGGTAAACAGCCTAAGTGAAATATCTTCATTTATCCACCAGCAGCTGCCACAATTGGTGACTTCATTGATGAATCATGGTGACTTAGAAATACATCTCCTTGGATACATCACAATAACAATATCTCAATCAATATTTCATTTGTTATAAGGACATTATAAGGATCTTATTCAAGCGCACATGATGCCATTTTGATTTTCTCACAGATCAATATAAACCCTACAGAGGTATGTCCTACCCTGTGCAGCTCTGTCTGTCCACCTGTGCTTCAGGTGACGTGATACCTGTAGATGAGGCCTCCTTCCTGTTTGTAGATCTGCCCAGAGAGAGAGGGAGAGAGATATAAGGAGAGAGAGAGAAAGAGACGAGAGAGGAGAGAGAGATAGAAGTAGAGAGGGAGAGAGGAGAGAGCTCTCCTCTCCGCCCCTCCATTCTCTCTCTCCTGCTCTTCCCGTTCTCTCTCTCTCTCTACTCTTTCTCTCCCTCTCTCTCATCATCTTCTCCCTCATCTCTCTCTCCTTCTCCTCTCTTTTTGGAAAAATTTTTTTTTAAAAAAATTTTTCTATTTTTGACCCTTTTTGGCAATGACTCAAACGTTTTCTTATCTCCAAAGGGTTTTTTCCCCTGTTGCCCGGGATTTTCCCATTTAGAGTTTCCCCTTTTTTTATGTTTTTTTGGGGGGGGGTTGGGAAAAACCCCTTTAATCCCTAAATTTTTTTATTTGGGGTTTTAAAACTTTTTTAAGGAGGACCCGACCTTAAAAATTTTTTTAGAACCCTTTTTTCGTTGGCCCCCTGTTTTTTATTTTTCTTAAAAACCCCCCAAAAATTTTAAACCTTTTAAAATTCCCTTTTTATAAGGGGTTTCTAAAACCAGTTTAATGGTTTTTTTTTAACACAGTGTTGGCCCTTTAGAAAACCCCCAAACATTTTACCCTCAGCCACAATTTTCTTTATGCAAATCGACCTTTTTTTTTAAAAAAAAGGTTAGTTTTTTTACCAAAAATTTAAATTTTGGGGTTTTTATCTTCCATTGACTTTCCCCTTCCTTTTTTTTGGGGTTCCCAAAAGATTCAACCCTTTCCGGGGCCACTTTTTGGCTTTTTAAAAATTTTTTCCGCAAAAATTTCCCGGGGGGCCGGGGTTTTTTGGGGGGGGCCCCGTTTTTTTGGGGGTTTTTTAAATTTGGGCCCCCCCCCTTCATCATTTATAGGGCCCCCTTTGGGTTTTTTGGGGTTTTTTTCCCCCTTTTGTGCTTTTTTCCCCCGGGGGGAAAATTGCGGAAAGGTGTGGTGGGGGGGGGGGAAGCTTATCTATGACCTGCAGCTGGTTCACTTGGTCCTCACCATCACCTAATGCTACTGGTCTGAACTGGACTGGACTGCCAACACTGTGGATCTCTACTCTACCAGCAGGCCTGCCCCTCTGTGTAAGTAACCTGTACTAACACTTTATTGTTAAGTATGTTTTGGGGGGTTTGGAAATGTTTTTTATTGTATTGATAAAATATTGGAAACTCAACTCTCAATAGTGTTATATTTACCATAAAGTTCTCCATTTGTTTTATCCATTTTGAAAGGGATGTTAACGACGATACAACAAGTAAATTCTAGCACTTAGTCATGCAGTTGGCAGTATCATGCGATATATATATAATTGTATAGGCTACAATAGATTTACTAGTGCTTAAAGTCTATGACATTCCAAGTGTCCTGCAACATTTCTTTTTTATATCCAATGATTTGACTTTGCTAAATGGGCATCAGGGTATAAAATGGAAAGTGTTGTTAGTGCTATATTGACACAGGTGGAATTGCCTTTTATGTTTCCCAGTTCCAAGAAAACATCCATTTGAACCACAGATATATGATAACAGCACACATTCACCCTCATCTATATGTCTCCTGGTCAGTGTCAATACATTACTATAGAGTCAAGCCCTTCAAGATCATAGGTACACAAGGGTCAAGGGTCATCATGTACTCTCCTATTCTGTAGAGACTTGTCAGATGAGAATTAAATGCTGTCCATACGTTAATCCTTGCCTTGAGATGTATGGAATATTTTCAAATGTGATCAGACTTCAGTCTGACAAACCTGTTTGTGTGCGTCCTTTTTTCATATAAATTTATCCTTAACATCCCGTCAACAAATAACCAACCCCAATCATGATATATCCATAAAGGCCCAGTAAAACCCGAAGTGTTTTCTTGGGGGAAACAATCTATGTAACCCTTCTCAGTCCTACACCGTGCTCATCTCTTTATCAATTATGTCCTCCCATCCAGCTAACCTTAATGGGTTTATTGCAGGCATTACCATGTCTGCTATTGCCTGGTGCTGAGGAGGAGGACGGAAACATGGAGGGGGCCAGTGTCTTCATCACTGTTCAGAAGGTCTACTACCCTTTGCTGTGCATTTTGGGGATCCCAGGTGTGTGAATCTTCTATATTGTTTGTGCTGTTTCCTAAATCTATATGTGTCTGTGTGATGTTCAGAACTTTTCAGGAATTATTGTGAGATAAATTGAAAGGAAATGTCACAACTCAAACCGGGATGCCATTCTGTTTCTTCTTCCTCAGCCAATCTCTTCACATTCTACATGATCTGCTTCCGTACGTGTGGAATGTCTGACACGGCTATTATCTATCTGAGCTGCTTGGCCATCATGGACACCTTCTACCTGGTGTGGGTCATCCTGCTGGACCTGACGCTCACCTTCTGGCAGCTGCAGCCCTTCTGGCACTCCTACCCGGCCTGCGGCATCATGGGCTTCCTGCAGTACGGCTCGCTGTACAGCTCCTCCTGGATCGTGGTGGTGTTTACCATTGAACGCTACCTGGTCCTCAGCAGCACGTCCGCCAAGCAGCACTTCTCCCAGGCCAAGGTTACTAGGCTGACCTGTGTGTCTATCATCCTGGTCTCCCACCTGGCCTCCGTGCCCATGGGCTGGATCAATGTGGTGATGCCGAAGAATTTCACCATAGAGGGGAAGAATGTGACTCTGCCCTGGTGTCACTACAGGGGCCATATCTATTCTACCGTCCTGGTGTGGGTTACTACTTTCCTCTCCGGTGGTATTCCCATCATCCTGGTCACCATCTTCAACTCGCTGATCGGCCACCACCTGACTCATGCCAGAAGGATGTTCACCAAGGAGGAGCGGCGGGTCATGCGGGGGGGGAGCACCAAGGGCATGGTGCGGAGGACCATCTTCCTGCTTGGCACAGTGTCGGTGACCTTCGTGGTGCTCAGCCTGCCACGCTTCGTCACCTACTGTATCCTGCGCACCAAGTACAACCATGACTGGTTCGACCGGAACGACTACCGCATTCCCATCAACGTGATTAGTGACCTGGCCAACATGCTGCAGAACCTCAACTCCACCACCAACTTCCTGCTCTACTGCATGGTGAGCCGGCGCTTCCGCCAGGAGCTGCTCCACACGCTCACCTGCAAGGCCAAGGCCCGAGAGCTGGGCTCCTTCCTCACCCAGACCACAATGAAGGTGTTCTCTGTGGTGGACCATAAAACACAGCCGACCAGAGACCACGTCACTGTAGTCCTCACCAACCTCAAACAGACCCAGTAGAGAGGAGATGAATGAGGAGGAGAAAGAGGAGGAGGAGGAGGAGGAGGAGGAGGAGGAGGAGGAGGAGGGGGGGAAAAGGGGGAGAGGACAATGATGTGTATAAACCCTGGATGACTGGCAGGAGGCGCTGTCGTCCGGGTTAGGGGAGGGTTTGGCCGGGGGAGTCTTTACTTGGCTCATCGCGCTCTTTACTGGTCATCAGTTGAACAGTGTTTCCTCCGAAACATTGGTGCAGCTGGCTTCCGGGTTAAGAAAGCGGGTGTTAAGCGCGGCTTGGCGGGTGATGTTTCGGAGGACGCATGACTCGATCTTCGCCTCTCCCGAGCCCGTTGGGGAGTTGCAGCGACGAGACAAAATCGGAATCACGAAATTCTATTACCGGCACCTTAATGCATACTTTTAAATGATATTATGTGAGCTAAACATAAAACTACATAAACATTTTTTTCTTAAAGTACTTAGTTCAAATCAAATCAAATCAATTTGTATTTCTCACATACACATGTTTAGCAGATCTTATTGTGGGTGTAGCTAAATGCTTGTGCTCCTAGCTCCAACAGTGCAGTAATATCTAAGAAGTAATATCTAACAATTTCACAACATATACCCAATACACACAAATCTAAGTAAGGAATGGAATTAAGAATATATACATACAGTGCCTTGCAAAAGTATTCATCCCCCTTGGCGTTTTTCCTATTTTGTTGCATTACAACCTGTAATTTAAATTGATTTGGATTTGGATTTCATGTAATGGACATATACAAAATAGTCTGGAAAAGTGGTGCGTGCATATGTATTCACCCCCTTTGCTATGAAACCCCTAAATAAGATCTGGTGCAACCAATTACCTTCAGAAGTCATATAATTAGTTAAATAAACTCCACCTGTGTGCAATCTAAGTGTCGCATGATCTGTCACATGATCTCAGTATATATACACCTGTTCTGAAAGGCCCCAGAGTCTGCAACACCACTAAGCAAGGGGCATCACCAAGCAAGCGGCACCATGAAGACCAAGGAGCTCTCCAAACAGGTCATGGACAAAGTTGTGGAGAAGTACAGATCAGGGTTGGGTTATAAAAAAATATCTGAAACTTTCAACATCCCACAGAGCACAATTAAATCCATTTTTAAAAAATGGAAAGAATATGGCACCACAAAAAACCTGCCAAGAGAGGGCCGCCCACCAAAACTCACGGACCAGGCAAGGAGGGCATTAATCAGAGAGGCAACAAAGACACCAACGATAACTCTGAAGAAGCTGCAAAGCTCCACAGCGGAGATTGGAGTATCTGTCCATAGGACCACTTTAAGCCGTACACTCCACAGAGCTGGGCTTTATGGAAGAGTGGCCAGAAAAAAGCTGTTGCTTAAAGAAACATTTAAATGTCTTGGAATGGCCTAGTCAAAGCCCAGACCTCAATCCAATTGAGAATCTGTGGTATGACTTAAAGATTGCTGTACACCAGCGGAACCCATCCAACTTGAAGGAGCTGGAGCAGTTTTGCCTTGAAGAATGGGCAGAAATCCCAGTGGCTAGATGTGCCAAGCTTATAGAGACATACCCCAAGAGACTTGCAGCTGTAATTGCTGCAAAAGGTGGCTCTACAAAGTATTGACTTTGGGGTGGTGAATAGTTATACACGCTCAAGTTTTCTGTTTTTTTGTCTTATTTGTTGTTTGTTTCACAATAAAAAATATTTTGCATCTTCAAAGTGGTCGGCATGTTGTGTTAATCAAATGATACAACCCCCCCCCCAAAATCAATTTTAATTCCAGGTTGTAAGGCAACAAAATAGGAAAAATGCCAAGGGGGGTGAATACTTTCGCAAGTCACTGTATATGGACAAGCAATGACAGAGCGGCATGGACTAAGATACAGTAGAATATTATAGAACACAGTATATACATATGAGATGAGTAATGCAAGATATGTAAACATTATCAAAGTGACTAGTGTTCAATTTCTTAAAGTGGCCAGTGATTTCAATAGGCAGCAGCAGCCTCTAATGTGCTAGTGATGACTATTTAACAGTCTGATGGCCTTGAGATAGAAGATGTTTTTCATTCTCTCTGTCCCAGCTTTGATGCACTTGTACTGACCTCGCCTTCTCGATGATAGCGGGGTGAACAGGCAGTGACTCGGGTGGTTGATGTCCTTGATGATATTTTTGGCCTTCCTGTGACATCGGGTGCTGTAGGTGTCCTGGAGGGCGGTTAGTTTGCCCCCGGTAATGCGTTCGGCAGACCGCACCACCCTCTGGAGAGCCCTGCGGTTGCGGGCGGTGCAGTTGCCGTACCAGGCGGTGATACAGCCTGACAGGATGCTCTCAATTGTGCATCTGTAAAGGTTTGTGAGGGTTTTAGGTGCCAAGACACATTTCTTCAGCCTCCTGAGGTTGAAGAGCCTCTGTTGCGCCTTCTTCACCACACTGTCTGCGTGGGTGGACCATTTCAGTTTGTCAGTGATGTGTACGCCAAGGAACTTGAAGCTTTCCACCTTCTCCACTGCGGTCCCGTCGATGTGGATAGGGGAGAGCACCCTCTGCTGTTTCCTGAAGTCCACGATCATCTCCTTTGTTTTGTTGACGTTGAGTGAGAGGTTATTTTCCTGAGAGTACTAATGTTACTGTCCCTGCTACAACAACAAAAATATTTAAATACATATAATTTTGTCCTTGAACCATTTAATTGAAATACTGTAGAATTCCATTAATTCCTATGGAGGACTACTCCTACTGGGGAGTGCCAATATGGCCGACCGGTGGCTTCAATGCCTCTCAATGGCCAATACATAGTATCTGCAATCCAGGGTTTATATACGTCATTGGGGAAGGAGGGGGGAACAGAGGAGGAGGTGACTGGACTACTTTTGAATATGAACAACTTGTTTTCTTTACTTGGTACCCGTTTCTATAATTGTTTGATTGAATGTTTGTATTTTATTGTATGTTTGTTGTTATAAACAATGTTTGAATAGTGTTTGGTAGCCTACATGGACTTTTCTAAACAAAGCAAACTCAACTTGTAAAACAAGATTTTAATTTATACGAAACCGTGTAGGCTATTTTATATCCTCACATGTGGATGTTAAAAGCGTGTTCACTTTAATGGGCAGTATACTTTCCATGAACCAAGTGCCTTCATGTCTGTGGGTATGTTTTCACTGTGTCTCATTCCACAAGTACTGTCATTTATCAGTTCAAACTACAAGGTTCATCATGACTTGTCGCAGAATTCCTGCTCTGTTTGGAGAACAACCTGATTGGCAGACGTGAACTGCATGACCCACATTATTTGCATAAATTGTGCAAAGGGACTTCTCTGCCTTGCATGCACTGATTTCTTCCTCAATAAATAAATAGTGGGAATGTTCCCTGTTCGCCTCAGAGCAGATTTACATGTAGAGGGAGCCAGGGAGGAATACACAGCTCTGACACAGATAGGTGAGTAAAGTTGAGTGGGGCAGGGCTCAGGTTTAACTGTTAAACGTGTCTGTAAATGGCACACTGTGCTGTATGATTTAACTTGTTTTCCTTGTTTGAAGTTGGGAGAATTTAGTAGATTACTTGTTTTTTGACTACTCATTCACAGACCATGCAGGTAAGTTTACAATAGTTGCTTGACAGAAGGACAAAGTTCACTTTCTAGGAGCATTGGTCTAACTGGTTATAATCGTATGTATTATAGTGACTCTTTAACGCCAAAGGACTGCTTTGAGTTCCGTATAGTGAAGTGGTAAGGGCTTTACATCGATCTGGAACAATAGCTATAGATCACTGCTATCTGTTCCACTCGTAAAATAGTTTGTTTCACTTGTGAATACAGTGTTGCCAGGAGTGTCATGTTATGCTGCTATCCACATAGTTCATATTTTATTCCTGTAAAACCGCGTTTGTTTCAATTTCACAAGAAATCTATCCCTCATCCTGAGAGAAGAATAGACTCTTTCACAGGTATGGCATTGTCAACTACACTACAGGAAACACTACCACACCTAACAGACAGAAAAGTTAACCTTACACTTAACTAAACTCACTCCTAGCTATCACATACATATTTTCCTCCTTTACTTTTTCTAAATGGCTTAAGCTGAATAACAACCTCTCTTTTTGTTTTTGTCAGATTCCTGTTGTCACAGAAACATTCCTGTGGAGACAGATGAGTCTATGACATCATCAACCCTGGACCTAGTGTGGCCATCGGGCTGTGGGCCAAAGGAAGAGGGCTGGTTTGCCCCTGAGGTGACCGTCAATGACGTATGCCAGGTGGACGACCCCAAGGACCCCTGGAGAAGCCCAGTGGAGGACCCTCTGGGTCAGCCTCCACCACCTGCCCAGAGCCCCCTCCCTGCCTGGGCCACATCAGCAAGACGTGTCCCCCCACACCCCTGATCGCCTGATGAAAGACCCCCACCCTGACAACCTCAGGTTACACCCCTACAGAGAGAGGGCTCAGTGGACTGAGGATGAGGACTTCTCTTTATCTGGGCTTCTCCAGTGGGAAGCGGAGGGCTTCCATGGTACACCCAGCTGGCCACGACCACGGGACTGTTCCCTTAAAGGAGCAGAACATGTAGAGGCCCCTCTTCCTCTCATGTCTGACTTAAACAACATCCACTGTGTCCCTCCAAGTCACCAAGCACACATGCCTCCTCAGTGTATGTAACATGCTGTATATGACTACAGTATTGATATAATTAAATAGAACAGACATAGATAAATAAATGAAATACATGATACTGAATGTCTATGACAGTAGCTGGGTCGTTCCACAACTAGAGGGCCTTTTTGCATCCCTTTGATATTTTAAGAAGCCTGTTAAAAGCCTGTTATATTAAATTAAGTATAATGAATCTGATTTTTAATATGAATAAACCCTGTTAATTTAATTGGCCCTTTACTGTTACTTAAATTGGCATTTGTCTTAATTTGACTTCTTGAGATGGAAAAACATGTTTTTTATTAAGTGTTATGAACGTGTGCTTTTTATGACAGAATATAAACATTTGTGCATGGAACTACCCAGCTATATAACATTTGCTGGTAAGTTGGTGAATTATTTTTAAAAATTACGTTGTTGTATATATTGCTGTCTGAGATGTAGCCTAGATGATCCACGTTCTATAATTCACATAGGCTGCGTTTACACATGCAGCCCAATTCTGATCTTCTGCCCAATTATTGGCAAAAGAGCTGATCTGATTGGTCAAAAGCCCAATTAGTGGAGAAAGATCAGAATTGGGCTGCCTGTGTAAATGCAGCCAAAGTGATGACTTTGATTTGGAGCCCATCCAAGACAGGATGTTAAAAGCACGTATTCTCACATCACTCGACAGGCCCAGATCCGGTGGACAGCAGGTGTCAGAGATGGTTAACATAAATCAAACCTGTCCCCTCTATCATCATTATAACCATCTTCACCCTACGGAACATCAGCAGAACCCTCACCAAATCAAAATCAAATCAAATGTATTGGTCACATACACATGGTTAGCAGATGTTATTGTGAGTGTAGTGAAATGTTTGTGCTTCTAGTTCCGACAGTGCAGCAATATCTCCCGAGTGGCGCAGTGGTCTAAGGCACTGCATCGCAGTGCTAGCTGTGCCACTAGAGATCCTGGTTTGAGTCCAGGCTCTGTCGCAGCCAGCCGCGACCGGGAGACCCATGGGCGGTGCACATTTGGTCCAGCGTCGTCCAAGGTAGGGGAGGATTTGGCCGGCAGGGATGTGGGTTCGTTTCCCACAGGGGGCCAGTATGAAAAAAAACATGTATTCATTCACTAACTGTAAGTTGCTCTGGATAAGAGCATCTGCTAAATGACTAAAATTTAAATGTAATATCTAGCAAGTAATATCTAATAGTTCTACAACAAAAACCTAATACACACAAATCTAAAGGAATGGATTAAGAATATATAAATATATGGATGAGCTTTATCATTATCAGAGTGGCATAGTCTAAGATGCAATAGATAGTATAGAATACAGTATATACATATGAGATGGATAATGCAAGATATGTAAACATTAAAGTGGCATTATTAAAGTGACTAGTGTTCAATTTATTAAAGTGGCCAGTGATTTTCAAGTCTGTATGTAGGCAGCAGCCTCTGTGCTAGTGATGGCTGTTTAACCTCTACGGGATCGGTGTCCCGTATACGGGACGGTTGAGCTGACGTGCGCTAATGTGATAAGCATGACTGTTGTAAGTAACAGCAAACTTTCCAGGACATAGACATGTCTTGTATGGGCAGAAAGCTTAAATTCTTGTTAATCTAACTGCACTGTCCAATTTACAGTAGCTATTACAGTGAAAAAATACCATGCTATTGTTTGAGGAGAGACGGCAACTGGTTTGATCACATCACGGCAACTGGTTTGATACATTCACCTCTGAAGGTAAATAATGTACTTACATTCAGTAATCTTGCTCTGATTTGTCATCCTAAGGGTCCCAGAGATCAAATGTAGCATAGTTTTGTTTGATAAAATCCATTTTTATATTAGAATGTAGGAACTGGGTTCTACAGTTTGAACCCCTGCTGTCTCTGGCTCCACACCCACCCCGCCTGACCATCTAGATGTGTGAATATTAGTGTATAAGCTAATGATACATCGTGTAGGACATTCCTGGGAGTGTGTAAATTTACATTTTGCATTACCATATCATTTTTGTATGTTTGCTATAGTTATGTAGTTGAAAATGTATCAATTGACCAATTCGGTACATTTGGGCAGACTTGATACAAAATAGTCCAGTATTGCAACGCTTCACTGGATCAATCTGAAACTTTGCATACACACTGCTTCCATCTAGTTGCCAGAATCTAAATTGCGCCTAAACTGCAATATTATATTGTGGCCTTTCTCTTGCATTTCAAAGATGATGGAACAAAACAAAAAAATAGAAAATGCATGTTTTTTTGTTTGTATTATCTTTTACCAGATCTAATGTGTTCTATTCTCCTACATTAATTTCACATTTCCACAAACCTGAAAGTGTTTCCTTTCAAATGGTATCACGAATATGCATATCCTTGCTTCAGGTCCTGAGCTACAGGCAGTTAGATTTGGGTATGTCATTTTAGGCTAAAATTGATAAAAAGGGTCCGATCCGTAAGAGGTTAACAGTCTGATGGCCTTGAGATAGAAGCTGTTTTTCAGTCTCTCGGTCCCAGCTTTGATGCACCTGTACTGTCCTCGCCTTCTGGATGATAGCGGGGTGAACAGGCAGTGGCTCGGGTGGTAGTTGTCCTTGATTATCTTTTCGGCCTTCCTGTGACATCGGGTGCTGTAGGTATCCTGGAGGACAGGTAGTTTGCCCCCGGTGATGCGTTGTGCAGACCGCACCACCCTCTGGAGAGTGCCCACTGTCCTGGTACACTAAACCAGTGCCCACTGTCCTGGTACACTAAACATTCCTACACTGGTCTAACATCAAATTGTAGCATTAGCCTACATATTAAAACTAATCTGATGTCACAAGGTCCTAGCGTTGTTATAGTCAACAAGCAAATGTTCATTTACTTTTCTATTAGTTTTGTGGGGCTCCAGATATAGCATAAACCCTGCTGATGGGCATTAGAATATACATTTAACTATTCTACACTGTTTCCTTCTCTAGGACTCCCATGGCTCAAAACAGACTATATGGACAAGAAGCATTTTATTTTATTCACTCACATTTTATTCACCCACTCTTTGAAATACTACTATTCAAACATACTTCCTCTCTCTGGCAGATGGACATCTTTGATAGCGTGGTTAGAAGAATGGACATCAACAAGTGGATGGACAGCTATTTAAAGGATGGTAAGTCGAAGCTGTCAGCATTTTTAGGACATAAATTGGACCTATCCAGTTATGAAACTATACAGAAAACAACTGAATTGACTATGAGGTGCTGTGTTGCAGAAGTCAGTGCTGATCATCGTGGTCATCAGTTCTAAGTACAAGGCAGACGTGGAAGGAGATGGAGAGGATGAGCATGGTCTCCACACAAAGTACATTTACACTCAGGTAGGCACTTACATTACATGTACCTGCACAAATATATCAGATACATGTGTAGCTACAGTATTTTTTAGATTATGGAGACTCAAGACTAGGACTGTGGAAGGAACTGTTGCGCCATTTGTACACATACAGTACATAATGCTTGCATACAGTAATATTCGCACACTGCTCAACTATTGTGGTTAGTCAGGGTCAATAAACCCTCAGTGTCCACCTCCCCTGTTACACACAGAATAGGCAGATGAAGTAACAGCTCCTGGGGCTGAAAAACAAAGCTGTTCATCTCAGTAAATCTATAATCACACCTGCCTGTCGCGCTCATTCCCCCAGGTTCAACCTGTCACTGTGTCAGTGTGTCAAAAAGCCAGTGAGACAAAAAGGCTCTGGGCCTTGGTGGGAGCTGTCAATCACAGCTCTCTGGCCACAGCCCCTCCCTCCCATGATGTAGCACAGGCGTAAAACACTGCTATGTGATACCAAGGGAAACATATACCATAGTCATATATACAGTATGTATAGTTTCTGTATAGTATACATTTAATATGCCATGAAGACAACTCATAACAGCGTTAGGTGTTTATCTTTGATCATCACCTTTTCTCATTTCAGATCCAGACTGGTACCGGTATTGTTTCCCACCGCTACCAAGGTGAGTGGATAACCAGATTTCCCATTCACTTGGTTAGACTATACTGTTGTTATATTCTCCAGAGTGTAATGCACATCCCATCACCGTCTTCCAGAGACATGTTCACACTGTTTTTATATCTCCAGAGTGACTCATGCTGTGGTGTAATGATTCTGCCTATCCTATTTATTTCCTACAGAGACATGTCCCTGCCTAGCTTCAGAGTACCAGGATATACCGCTGGCCCCAGGATACCCAAGACCTGCTTCTCCGCTAAGAGAGCGACGCTACATTGTCCCCCCTCTGGGGAAAGAGCTGACCCTCTCCGTACGACCCCTCTGGCATCTCTGAGAACTGATGAACTGCTATAGACACATTGTGTTGTGGTACTTCATAGATTTCAATGTTTATATGGAAATTTAGTAAAGGCTTTTTTTGTACTCAACTAAAATGGTGTGTGAGAGTAACGGTGTATCTCAGTACTGCTCTCAAATAGCCACAAGGTGGCAGTATTTACTTTCTAATGTTTAAAGTCCTAGACATTTGCTTGCTAAGGGGGTAATAGGTTACTCCTGACATCGTGTGGCGACTGTGGTCCTGATAATATGTGATCTGAAGATTTATTATATTAATAATTGAAAGTAATAATGGCCTGTTGACTGTGAGGTTGTTGAATTGCCATGCTACACATTTTTACAATGTAGCCTATATCACATAGTTACTACTGTATTACCCAGTACAACGTCAAGGTCTCACATTTCTGTGGGTAATGGCAGATAAGTAGAACAGGGTGTACAGGTGGTTTTAGTGGCCCCCTATTCATTGTTGATTTAAGATCCACAGAGGGGCCACAGGAAGACCTGTCACTGAAACATCAATCTTCTCCAACATAGGGAGGGGCTGGGATTCACACGTGTTCTTCTCTTTACACTTCAATGTATTGTATCTGTGGTGGTTTCATCATCCTTTGATCAGCCAAACCAAACTATGTTATGTCGATAATGACAATCATGCTGTAAAAAACGAAGAATTCAAATGTTAGGTACTACATTTCTATGTGTTATTGGATACATACAGTGCCCTACGTAATTATTAGGACAGTGAAGCGTTTGTTCTTATTTTGGCTCCGTACTTTGGATTTGAAATGATACAATTACTATGAGGTTAAAGTGCAGACTGTCAGCTTTCATTTGAGGGTATTTTCATCCATATCAGGTGAGCCGTTTAGAAATTACAGCACTTTAGTACATTGTCCTCCCATTTTAGGGGACAAAAGGAAATGGGACAAATTCACTTATGTGTGTTAAAGTAGTCAAAAGTGTAGTATTTTGTCCCATACTCCTAGCACGCAATGATTTATTACATCAAGCTTGTGACTCTACAAACTTGATGGATGCATTTGCTGTTTGTTTTGGTTGTGTTTCAGGTTATTTTGTGTCCAATATAAATTAATGGTAAATAATGTATTGTGTCATTTTGGAGTCACTTTTATTGTAAATAAGAATAGAATATGTTTCTAAACACTTCTACATTAATGTGGATGGTACCATGATTACGGATAGTCCTGAATGAATAGTGAATAATGATGAGTGAGAAAGTTACAGACTAACAAATATCATACCCCCACCCCCAACAAAATGCTAACCTCCCGTTATTGTAATGGTGAGAGGTTAGCATATATGATATTTGGGTACGATATTTGTGCGTCTACAACTATCCGTAATAATGGTAGCATCCACATTAATGTAGAAGTGTTTAGAAACATATTATATTCTTATTTACAATAAAAGTGACTCCAAAATGCTACAATACATTATTTACCATTCATTTCTATTGGGCAAAAAATAATCTGAAACACAACCAAAACAAACAGCAAATGCATCCAACAAGTTTGTAGAGTCACAAGCTTGATGTAATCATTGTGTGCTAGGAATATGGGACCAAATACTACAAATGGGGGGACTACGTACAAATAGTGTTGTAATTTCTAAACGGTTCACCCGATTTGGATGAAAATACCCTCAAATTAAAACTGACAGTCTGCACTGTAACCTTAGTCATTGTATCCAAAGTGCTGGAGTACAGAGCCAAAACAACAAAACATTTGTCACTGTCCCAATAATTGTGGAGAGCGTTGTATTATAATTTCTGCTATTCTCAAAAGAAAGCCAGTGATATATTACTATTAGCCTAATGCATTTGTTAACAATGAGAGCTTAGTATAAACTCAGGAGTTTCCTGCACAAATAGCACTTGCACCACACTAGACCAAGCCTTATCTGACCAACCCAAAGCAACCAAAGGGGTTGGGGAAGGGGGAAATGGGATTGTCTCCTGCAGGTGGCTTGGTGTGTGAAACGGAGCCTGTCAGCTTATCAGTGACCGCATTTACATGCCCACAGTATTCCAGATAGTAGCTCATATCCCGCTTAAGGTCTTATTCGGGATAAGCTGTTTACATGCACCTTTGATATCCCGCTCATGAGTATCCCTGTTAGCATGTGTTACGGATACAGGTATCCTGTGTCTTTTTGTGTTTTTCCTCTCCTTCTGCCCTAATCACAGGTGTCCTTTATGTTCCTGATTGGTGGTCGTTGGGGGTGTCCCAACTGTCCAACATCTGTTGGTCTGCTGATTGCTGAGGTGGACCTATCAGTGGACATTCCTCTGTATTGCACCACCTGTTTCTGGTTTCCCACTTCCACCTCCCATTGTTTAAAAGCCAGTCAGTTGTGTTTGTAGAGAGAGACTATTTTCCGTATGTGAGTATGGATACTGTGGTGTCCTGTGTTTTGTGTACTCACTCATTTGCTGGTTACTCTGTTTGGTAACTTTGTTGTGTGTTTCTGGGAAAAGGGGGATTTAAGCAAGTTGCCCTTGGGCATACATTACCCGTAGGAAGAAAACTGTCTAAAAACACTAGTTAGACCTGAGCGGACCACCCACTGTAATTTTTGTATGATTAGCAGTAGCTTAGCGGTTCTTGAGGCAGGCAAGATCAGTTTTGGTTTTTTTTTACACTTATTTCCTTTCTTGGGTCCTGCTCAGCCCTTTTTCCCAAACCTTTACCGTGTGTTCAAAATAAACATTTTATGTTTGACGGTAGTTTATGGTTGTTGTGTAGTTTTTGTTCTCACTGTTTCCATGTCACGATTCTAATTTGCATGAATTATGTTACGGGTCTCTTGTCCATCCATCCTAGACGCGTAAAGCCACGGGGTTAGTAACTCCATGAATAAACAGAATATTCCTCATTTAAGTTCTATGGGTTAAATGGAATAGTAACTGAAATATGGACACTGAATGTAGGTCTATAACCTCTCACATGTAGCATAATATAAACTCCTGGAGAATGATGCATTTATTGTAGTGAAGTTATACAACAAATGTTAATTCTGTCTCAGGAACAGGAGTGGAGAAATATTATTTATTTATTTCAGCATCTCTTGAGAAGCCGGATGTGGAGGTCCTGGGCTGGCATGGTTACACGTGGTCTGCGATTGTGAGGCCGGTTGGACGTACTGTCAAATTCTCTAAATGACGTTATGGTAGAGAAATTAACATTACATTATCTGGCAACAGCTCTGGTGGACATTCCTGCTGTTAGCATGTCAATTGCATGCATCTGTGGCATTGTGTTGTGTGACAAAACTGCACATTTTAAAGTGGCCTTTTATTGTCCCCAGCACAAGGTGCACATGTGTAATGAGCATGCTGTTTAATCAGCTTCTTGATATGCCACACCTATCTGGTGGATGGATTATCTTGGCAAAGGAGAAATGCTCATTAACAGGGATGGAAACAAATTTGTGCACAAGATCTGAGAGAAATAAGCTTTTTGTTCATATGGAAAATGTCTGGGATTTTTTTCAGCTCATGAAACATGAAACCAACACTTTACATGTTGCGTTTATATTTTTGTTCAGTGTAGATTACTAATGCATTCATTCTATCGATGTAAGACATTATTCTGGTGAGCACTTTAATTAGTCTTCTGGGGCAACAAGTTATGACAGAAGCTGCATTTATCAAACTATAGTTGACAAACAAATGGCCTACCAAATGTCGGAAATTATAATATGGCCAACAAAATGTCTGAAATTATAAGCAGAAACTTAATTTAAATTATAGTAAATGAGTTATAGTAGGCTCAATTATTATGGTGGATCGAACTGAGCACGTAGCCTACTTTTTGAAGTGATTTGTTTGACAGTCAGATGAAAACATCATCACACAACACCCATGATATGCGAAACTAAGCCTGTGCAGACCGCAAAAACAACAGTAAACGGGATAAGATGTTTACATGCCACAGTATCCAGTCTTAGATCAGCATATCCCAGGCATCTTATCCAGGGATCTCATAACCAGGCTACAAGCTTTTTTGGGTTATCGTTAACAGGATATGATGTTTATATGCGTCAACTCAAAAACAGAATACTTGAGTATCCCGAGTAATAACGGGATATTGGTGTGCATGTAAGCTAGGTCAGTGAGGTGAGTGATTGATTAACCTGGGCAAACTTGTCTGTGCCTCAGAAAGGGATATTCTCCAACCATCAACAAGGAGAAAAGTCCCTTCACAAAAGTATTGCTCTCATTCCCACAGAGCTGTGTGTGAACTGGTGTATGTGAATACTTACCCAAACATCTCTAGTGTAGTGAGCTCTGGGCTATCCCAGATTGTGATGCATAGGAGTACCTCTCAGCAGAAGACTGCTATTAAACGGACTCACCTCATTTTCACCTGCACTGATTGGTTTCCAGAGAAAGGGCTGAAGCCCACTCAAGGTCAGAGCACACTCCCTCTGACAGACGCTCCCACTCCATCCAGATGAAATGCTAATGAAACATTCTTCTTCATCAGGGAGCCATTGAGTGTGACTGTGTCCCCAGTGTGGCTTTTATGGGCCTTTCAGTTTATTATGGAAATCTAGATGGAATTACATTAAAGGGCAACTCCACCACTTTTCAACCTCATTTTCATTATCTCCATCACAACACCAGTGTCAACATATGTGAAAACGGTGCATTTCTACATTTGAAGAAATAAAATATATAAAGTTAAAAAAGTTATACCTAATGACATCATCAAAAGTTAAAACATTTTAAAAACAATGATTTTCATACACTATGTGATTCGGGGTGACTTGTGGAGCAAGAAAATACCCTCCCTTGGCTAGAAACTCGTTGCAGGTTTTGAAAATCACTGAATCTGTTGTAGCCGGCCGCGACCGGGAGACCCATGGGGCGGCGCACAATTGGCCCAGCGTCGTCCAGGGTAGGGGAGGGAATGGCCGGCAGGGATATAGCTCAGTTGGTAGAGCATTGCGTTTGCAACGCCAGGGTTG